GCTCATGAACTTCCAAAGCAAATGTCCTTGGTTTTGATGTTGAAACCAGATAGTATTGGAGGACATTCACTCAAGGTTCCAGGTCTGCATTTTTTTAAAGATCTTTGGCCCGTTTTTCCCCCCCTTACTTGCATGTTTTATGTCTTTATTTCTTTGAAAATGCATATTGCTTGCTTGCAATTTTGCACCAGTTTGCTGATCTTGGTTTTTATTGTTTGTTGCTTTTTGTTTCATGTAGGTACCTAGCTTATACAAGGTTATTTTTGCAATTTTTCATTATTTTTGAGAATTTATTGTATTTGTTTTGTTTTTTTGTTTCCTTTTTTTTCCTTTTTTTTTGCTTTTTGTCTTTCCTTTTTTTTTCCCTTTTTTTTCCCTTTTATTTTGCTTTTGTGTTTTTTGGATTTTGCTGATTTGCTTTTTGTTTTTTCCATTTTTTTTTGCATTTTTCGCGCTTTTTTTCAAGTTTTTAAAAAATAAGAACTAACGGTGGTTTGGTGAACATAACATTAATCATCTATAAATAGGTTCCCATTGCCATCATTGCCATGTTGGACGGATCCGGAGCCTGTCAGGTGAGGCACGAACTCCACGAACACGTCCTTGGTCCTCACCGGGCTCCAGGACAAGAAGTCGCCATCAAAATCCATCAAAATCTATCAAAATCCATCAAAATCTATCAAAATCCATCAAAATCATTGAAAATCCATAAGTTGATAGTGAGATATGCTGGAAAATCCATAGATCTTTTGACTTGATCTTATGATTTTTGTTAAGTGACACTATGAACACTCTGAACAGAGACCTATCATGACCTATCCATGATTTTATAGTGATATATTATATGCTGAGTAATTCTATAATTGTCATGTTTCGGATTCGTCATTATGCTAGAATTTCTCCTCCTGTTCTACCAGACGGCATGGGGCCGCAAAAGTAGCTGCATTTTTTTCGGTTGCCTTCTGGGGAAGGAAGCGAAATCAAGGTAAAACAAGCAACGGGATTCAGCTCGAATCACTTCAGTGACCTAATTTCCTCGTCCAGTGTGTGTCTGTGTCCGCATTTGTGTCGCCTACAATGTGGGCCCCCTCAGTTATGAGTTGGTGTATAATTCCCAGTAACTATAGTTCTAAGATCATAAACCATAGTTATTGAAGTTATTAGAGTCATTCACCCACTTAGCTATCGTAAACGGGGGCCCCACTTTGTATGTTTTTACCGATCAAAAGTTACCAACAGAACTGCTCGGTTTTCCTGTTTCAGCCCACCTTCCTGGGTATCCATATCCCCATGGGGAGCCAAGGAATTCCAATGTTGCAAATTGAGTTTCTCAACTGTTGTTGTGATTCATCTTGTTTGTTGTTGTTTGTTGATGTTTGTTGGTTATGTTTGTTGGTTATGTTTGTTGGTGATGTTTCGGCATTTGTTGCTTCCCTTGCTGAGTGGTTTCTTCGAGTTATGGTGCCCACTGACATCATCTAATGAATCTGAATCTTGCAGTTGATGTTGTTGATGCCTTCAGTTGGGATTGCGCCAAGTGGATCCAAGTGGTTTAATGGGGACTTCTGGATCGCAACGGATTCATGGCGCTCCACTCTGATCATGAGGAGTTCTGGATCTTCATTTGCTTTGCGTGCGAAACTCAGTTCCGGCTGGATGATTTTCACGGGAAATTCTGGATGAAACAAGCCAGGACAAGGTCATGAAAGGGATCAAACAGGGAGCATTCTGACAAAAAAGGGTCATTTTTTTGCCTCATTCAGGTGTTAAATCCCTTCTGCGGCTTTTAAATTTCTGATTGGATGGGTGAGTTGGGGTCAATCTGGTTTCTGGCTCTTGTTTTTGGCTCGAAACTGGGAAGAAATAGCCATTTGGAGATTTGGATGGTTCTGGATTTGCACATAGTTGCACCGTTTTTTCGCCCCAAATGGAAATGGAGGTACTTCTCATCACTTTTTGCCATGTGGCTAGCCATTTTGCAGACTTTTGGTGGCATTTTCTGGGTAAAGTGGTCCACAGCCTCGATCTTTGAAGCTACCTCTGGCCATTTCTATCCCAAGGGTCTGCTAAAAAATGCCGGGAGAAACTGATCTCTTGGGTTCATTGGTGTCCACAGCAGACATATCTCTACATGCTTGATATATATATATATATTTTTCAATTTTTTCATGTATTTTATTGGGGTCAAAGGTAGCTGTCCTAACTAATCCCATTATCAGCGCAAATTGTCAAGAGATATTCCAGAGCGGATAAACAGGGCCGTGGCATGTCAGGCAATTACCATGCTAGTGAGCAGTTGTTTTTGGCTCAACTTGTGTTGCAGTTATATAACGTGTTCCAGTGGGGAAACAAATCAAGGTTCTTCAGTGCGTTCTCATGAAAACTGGTTGGTGGCTTCAAATGATGTGCTAAAGCCATTAAAAACTGCTTGGTGGTTTGGAACATTTTTTTATTTTTTCCATATATTGGGAACAATAATCCCAACTGACGAACTCACTCCATCCCCCAGGTCATGGTAGGTTTTCCAGGCCATGCTGAGCTGACTCTGATCCCATGGATATGGATTTTTTCTGGGATCACCATCTGAAATTTGGTTTGTTGATGTTTGTTTTTTTCAGTTTTTTTCCTAAGAATAGATGCGAAAAGTGATGTATCACTAAATCTGTTTGGTGGTTTGGGAACATGGTTTATTTTTCCATATGGGAATGTCATAATCCCAACTGACTTTCACTCCATCATTTTTCAGAGGGGTAGGGCTCAACCACCAACCAGAAATGTTCGTGGCTTTTTGCCAAATCCTCGATCTTTCTTTGGGTTGTCCTCATCTTCGGCGAGGCAACGAACTTTGGGATCTCCAACGCTCAAGGCAGTGGGCTTCGTACGAAGAATTTCCTCGGAAATTCATGCAAGACGGATTCACAAGACTCAACTCTTGGAAAGAAGTTCATCATGGGCGGGAATATATAAGATTATAATAGATTATATTTTTGCTCATTAAATGAAGTGATTGAAACGTGGCTTGGTCTGGTCCAAAACCTTTGGGTACTCCTGGAGGATGGCAATTTCAATGGCAAATAAATTATTTTCTATGAGTTTCTAATCTGTTGGTTTTGTGAGGACACGGCATTTTCCCACAAACCCCAGTGTATTTTGTCTGGTTATCTCCATCTATGACTCCAGTATTTGATGGGCGTTTGAAAACAACAAGTATATATACACGTATAAATAACCTCTGGTTATTTAAGAGTTTGCTGTGAAAGCCATGGCCCATGTATAGATGATTTACAGTATGATGATTTACTGTTACACATGGTGGTTTTCCATACGTTGAATAAGCGGAGGGTGGACTTGTTGCTGAAGCTAGTCCGATCAAGCATCGCTGACATCCCCCATGTGTGTATTTGTTTGTTAGCCATATAGAGGTTTCCTAAAGTGGGGGGTACCCCTAAATCATCCATTTTAATAGGACTTTCCATTGTAAACCATCCATTTTGGGGTACCCCCGTTTATGGAAACTCCCGTATCTGTGTATCATATGTATCCCTCTTAAAGCTTGATTTTTATGGGTTGTTAAAACATGTTCAAACGACGAACCAGAACATATCTGTCATTGGTATCCGAGTGTTATATCACCATTAATCACCATTAACATCCATTAACCATTAATCACCATGTATAGTATAATCCCATGAAAATAACTACCTTCTCATGGCCATAACTGTACCTACAATGTGGGCCCCCCAAACGTGATGTGAACGTTGGTTTATAAACCCTAGTAACTAGTTCGTTATTATAAACCCTAGTAACTAGTTCGTTATTATAAACCCTAGTAACTAGTTCGTTATATGTACCATAAACATCCATAAACCACAGTTATTGAAGTTATGTGAACCCCAACTTGTCGCGATAACTCGTGGCCGTTTCAGCCGTTGGCCCCACATTGTATGACCATCTCCCCATGGAATGTCAGGCGCCTGGAGCATATGAGAGAGCAGCGAGATAGACAGGAGCACTGCAGGGCGGAGATTTTTTTCTGTGTTTTTTTTTTTTGTTATTTAGAGATTATGGATTTTTTTTTAACTTTTATTTTTACATATTAATTTTTAGGTGTTTTTTCTTGAAAGAAATTACAGCTGATACTTTTATGGGATATTCATGGGGATGTAATAGTTTATAACTTGTGCTGGAGATGTTCGTGTGTGTTTTTAAACCCAGAAGACATGAAGAAACTGATGATTTCAGATTTTGATTGGGATATAATGGTTTTAAAACTAACCAACTGTATTTGAATTCAATGGTTAGTTGGTTAGTTTTAATGGGGATTTCATTTGAATATTGGTTTCGTTTTTAACCATTGAAATCCCAATAAACTATATATTATGGGATATTCAATGGTTAAGAACAACACCAACTAGAGTACTATAGTTAATCCCTTTCCCTGTTCATATAAAACACCCCCGAAATCTGGTTTAATAGGGGAACACAACACATGTTTGGAACCGTAGAATTGTGGTGGGTGTTCAATATTAGGGGGAGTGGATGATACATTTAATTGTGGACTTATTCCAAACGTTCTCCTGTGCCAACGCTGATGAACGAAACAGAATAATATTGTGCAAAGAAAGATGGGTCCTTTCACCCTAACATCAAACCAATCAGCATTGAACGTATTGATAAATGCTGTAAAATTAAGCAAATCTGTCTTGTTGGTTTCAATGTTGATGTAGTGTATCAATGTGTATCATGTATCACTGTGAATCCCTCGCTGGTATCGTGGATCCGTGTCGCTGGAGCGGCTCCAGAAATACTGAGCTGCAGGATTTTCGTTTCACTTTCTGTCATATCTGACCCTCTTCATTTGGGCCTGGGTCAAGTCAGTGTTTTCTTCATCTCATTTTTTATTTGGATTCAAGAAGTATAGGATGGGTTCCTACAAAAAAAAAGGCCAGAATATGTCAAGATATGTCTGGTCCTAAACGTAAACCTTGACTCAGATCCATTGTTTTCCCATCAGCGTCATGGCGCTGGCACCCAAGGGCAGTGGTGTTGGAGCTTCGGAGGTATCGTTTCGATCTGAGATTCCGTCCAGCGCAGATATGTTGGAGGATCTGCCAGAGGAACTTTTGAGGTCTGTGACTCTTCCTGTGGCATTGAGAGGCCTTGGAAAGGACGGAAAGGGAGTTGGGATTTGACAGCAAAATGTGGGGCCCCTTACGGCCACGAAATAGCAAAGTTGGGGTTCACATAACTCCAATTTCATTATGGTTATGGTACTTATACCTACAGTTACTGGGTTTTATAAACCAACTTATAACCGGGGGGCCCCACATTGCATGGATTTCTGTCCTTTTTTTGGGGGGTACGGTATTGACACAGAAACTATCTAGTAGGATGTTTTGATGTCAGTTTAGGATGGTGGTTGGGATATTATACGAGGCCTCATATCCCTCCGGTTGGGTGATGTCAGGAGTGGAGACAAAGAGATCCATCCTTTGGAAAGTGGAGGCCTCATCTAACGATGGCGCAGACGCAACGCTTCGACTACTTTCTGAGCCATGATTGGGGAACTTCCGGTTGCCGGCTGACTTGCTGAGTCGATGATTTGTCCATATTTTTTCCATATGTTTCCAGTGGAAAATCCACTACGACTGGGGAATCCATTGGGTATTTGTATATATACACACCATTAAAAGATATCTATATACATCTACATATTAATATATACGCAATTATGTGTTTTCATATGTGTGTATATATATATATATACAAATGCGGGTTCCTCAAGCAACGTCCAAGGTTGGATGAAGTACTTTAGCTTGTTGATTTTCTTCAACAGCAGGGCATCAGCTTTGGTGACCTTTGTTTCCAGTAGTCTTTTGGGAGTTCTCTCGGGGATGGAACTTCTGCCGAAAACAGTTTGGTGGCTGATCCTCGGTCAACTGGTGGCTCTGGTGGTCCTCTTCTTCTGGCAGCATCTGCGGGATGTGTTCAGCCGTGAGAGACTCTTCGTTGACAGTCTCTGCATACCACAGCATGATGAAGGTTTAAAGTCTCAGTGTATTTATGGACTGGCATCATTCTTGAAGCGGTCCGATACTCTTCTGGTTCTTTGGTCTCCAAGATACTGCACCCGATTGTGGTGCATGTATGAGCTTGGTTGTTTCTTGATGAAACAGAAAAGAGCAAAGCACATTCTCTTTTTGCCAGTGCAAATGTCGGTGCTCTGGTTACTCTGCTACCTTCAGGTGGCTGCAATATTTGTGACAGCACTCATTGGGCAGCGAGTCGGCAACGTCTTTGACTGGCAGGAAATCACCGGAACGCTAAGCCTTGCAGCTGTAATCTTGATTCAAGTCTTGGTGCTTTACCCAGCATATTTCTACATCATGAATAGCATCCTGGATTTGCTATATGATTTGCTGGGTGATGTGTTATATTTTCATATATGTTCATATATTTTCATATATGTTCATCTCTTTTCATATATTTATTTATATATATATATTGCAGAATTCAACGTTTGGATTTTGGATCTTATTGTGAAGACTACTCTTTTTTTAAAGGATGAATATGTGGACCGCCAATCCAAGGCATGCTTGCGGATATGAATCAATTGCCAAGGCTTTTTCGAGACTTTGAATTGGACAGATCCGAATGTTTGTGTTGTTCTTGCCAGCACCGGCATCCCATCACTTTGGAGGAACTCCCATGCGACCGCCAACTGATCTATGAAAGTTTAAAGCATTGGTCAGGTGAGGCTGGCGATATCCAAACCGTGTTCAAGACACATTTGGATGAGCATGTCATGCCATCAGTGGAGCAAAACTTCCGAAGTTCCGCGCTCTTCGTGCGGCCTCTGATGTCCGCAGCATTGGTGGCATCGTGCCCCTTTATTTGCGACTTCATGTCCGTGGAATTTACAAAGCTTGTTCGGAAAATGAAAGGAAACAGCTTCCGCAATGCAGGGCTCCCAGTCTACGTCTTCTTCCTGTCCCTATGCCTGGTCCGCTGCAGTTTGTTGCTAGGGCGACTCGGGGTGCGATGGAAAGAACACCCAAGGTGTGCAGTGCTGTTTCAAGTGCTGGCATTCTTATGCATCAGTCAATTCTTGGGCATGGGTTACCCATTGGCTGTGGCCGTGACCTGGATTAGCTGAGTGATTTTTTGAACATTTTCCCATGAATCCACCATGACGGGGGGAATTTTCTAGTTCTTTTTTGGGAGGGGACTCCTTAAGCAGATCATTCAGGTGGGTTCAAAAGGGTTTAAGTTCACAGCCATCAATCTTTTACCCTTCCTTCTGCTGTGCATCGTCATGACCTGGAGTATGTGTGTATATCAACGCGCACTCACAAGTTGGTCCAGGATGTCTCTAGTGAAGAGCAAGGCTGCGAAAAAACCCGCCAAAAAGGACTGGGTTCTTCCAACTCACTATCGGCACCAGCGGTAATCAAACATGGTTTGCTGGAAAATCTTGGGAAAAACCGCCAATTGTAAATTATTTTCCCATATTCTCCCATTAAAACATATTAAAACCTCCGTTTGTAGATTTGCAGGGTATTTCCCATTGCTATGTTTGATTACCGGAGGGTAGAGGCAAATGATAGCCACAAGTTTTTTTTAGCCATTTGACCTCTATATTTACTCAGCTTCTCCCACTCGTACCTGGGTGCTGGGAGCTGCCCTGAAGGAAGTCACAGTTGAGCTCAACGAGATCGATGGATCAATTTGCTCTGTGGACTCTGGGTCGACTGTTGGGATTTGATGCATCTTTTCACCGTCAGCGTGCCAATCTCCAAACGGAGAAGTAGCACAGACCCGAAAAGTGGGGCGAAAACCAACATGTCCATGAGCTGAAATGGTAGTCACTGGAGGAATTACGACACCATGTTCTAGAGAATTAGAGAATGTTCGTTTTGGACATGAGCAGAGATCAGAGTTGGCCAGAAACACTGGATTGCAAATACTTGGCGCCCAAAAACTTGCAAGCATCTGTGGGTCCCAGGCGTCAGCCTCCTTTCCCATACTCACATGATTGGGAGATGATGAGATGTGGGATCTTTTGCACTTCAACCATTGAGCCATATCAAGCCATTCATTTGAGGTACCAGGTGCAGAACTCCACTGAGCAAAAGAACCTCATATATAGCACCCCCAAATAGATAGAAAGGTGATTTTCAACATGTAAATTATAGAGAAAAAGACCTGTGTAACATGATGGAATAAACCTCAAATCACAATATTTTACAGCATTTCTTTGGGGACACCTTCAAGTCATCTAAGCCAAAGAATATATCCAAATGATATGTGGCCCTAATGAGATGATCCCTGCTAGCAGCCAGTGATGTGAACCTTACTTCGTTGGAATCCCAACCTCATTTTATCGCATCATCGGCTGGGCGCGTATTGAATGGAAAAAAAATGAAGCCGTTGACATGAAAGTTCGCTGGAAAATCCTCCATTTATGGATGATTCACTGGAAGATCCTCCATTTATGGATTTATGGATGATTCACTGGAAAATCTTCCATTTATGGATGATTCACTGGAAAATCCTCCATTTATGGATGATTTTTTGCTGATTTTCGCTAGAAACCACCATTTTTGATGGCGATTTTCCAGCGACTTCGCCATGTTGACCGCCACCCGAAGGAACTGAAGGAGTGTTCCTTCCAACCTGCACCCAGAGGCCTGCGTCGGATGGTGCTGCTGGGAGATGGGAGATGGGAGTGTTCCCCCGGTGACCCGTGTCGTGTCATCCGTGTCATCGTCAGGATGAGTTCTACCCAAGGTTGACCAAAGTGGAAACAACGTGCTGGTGATTTTGTGATGTTTTTTTTTTTCGGCCATTTCTGAAAGGAAAATTTCACCCCCAATAAGGTCTTTCGGTCCGAAATGTGACCTCGGCAAGTCAAAATCTGCCAAATCAAGTCGTGGCAAATCTGCCAAAGAAACTAGTGATATGATATGTTATTAAAATCTTGTATCTTTTGCGAAAATACCATAAGATACCATTAGACTATATTGATCTACCCTCTGGTAAACAAACATAAGTAATGTAGGTTACTGATTAGTGTGGGGAGGCCCCCCCCCCCCTCCCCCAAACAAATTTGCGTTACAGAATAGTGTGGAAAAAACAAGGTACCGGGTACAGAATACGGTAAAATCAAAAAAAATGATAGATTTAAATTGATTTCAATTTACTTTCAATTGATTTGAATTGATTTTGAATTGATTTCAATTTACTTTCAATTGATTTGAATTTACTTTCAATTGATTTCAATTTATTTTCAATTGATTTGAATTTATTTTGAATTGATTTCAATTTACTTTCAATTGATTTGAATTGATTTTGAATTGATTTCAATTTACTTTCAATTGATTTGAATTTATTTTGAATTGATTTCAATTTACTTTCAATTGATTTGAATTGATTTTGAATTGATTTCAATTTACTTTCAATTGATTTTGAATTGATTTCAAGTTACTTTCAATTGATTTGAAGTTACTTTCAATTGATTTGAAGTTACTTTCAATTGATTTCAATTTACTTTCATTTGATTTCAATTTACTTTCAATTGATTTCAATTTACTTTCAATTGAATTCAAGTTACTTTCAATTCATTTCAAGTTACTTTCAATTGATTTCAATTTACTTGCAATTGATTTCAATTTACTTTCAAGTAAAAGAAAAAAAACAATCACCTCAGGAAGCAGCTGGACACAATAGTGTACCCCCAAACAAACCATACTATTGTGTATCAGGGTTGCTCATGGACTACCCCCTTGAAAAATTGTTTGAGTGATGTTTTTTAATTGGGTTTTAATAAGGCATCATATATTTTGGAAAATTCAGCATTTCTGAGAATTCTAAATAAAAGAAACTAATTGAGAAAATAAAAGAAACAAACTTTAGCAAAGGAAAATGTAAAGGGAATGTAAAAAAAAAAACAAAATCACCTCAGGAAGCAGCTGGACACAATAGTGTACCCTCAAACAAACCATACTATTGTGTATCATGATCATATTCATTTCAAGTTACTTTCAATTGATTTCAATTTACTTGCAATTGATTTCAATTTACTTGCAATTGATTTCAATTTACTTTCAAGTAAAAGAAAAAAAACAATCACCTCAGGAAGCAGCTGGACACAATAGTGTACCCCCAAACAAACCATACTATTGTGTATCATGATCATTCATGTTTTTTTTTGGTTGGCTGAAACTAATCCTTTGGAAAGCCTTTGGTTTTGATTCCAAGAAAAATGAAGCTAAGTAAAAGGAAACAAACTTTAGCAAAGGAAAAGGAAAAGGTTGAAAAAAAACATAACCTCAGGAAGCAGCTGGACACAATAGTGTACCCTCAAACAAACCATACTATTGTGATCATGATCATTCATGTTTTTTTTTTTGCTTGGCTGAAACTAATCCTTTGGAAAGCCTTTGGTTTTGATTCCAAGAAAAATGAAGCTAAGTAAAAGGAAACAAACTTTAGCAAAGGAAAAGGAAAAGGAAAAGGTTGAAAAAAACATAACCTCAGGAAGCAGCTGGACACAATAGTGTACCCTCAAACAAACCACACTATTCTGTATCAGGGTTGCTCATGGACTACCCCCTTGAAAAATTGTTTGAGTGATGTTTTTTAATTGGGTTTTAATAAGGCATCATATATTTTGGGAAATTGAGCATTTCTGAGAATTATAAATAAAAGAAATTAATTGAGAAAATAAAAAAACTTTAGCAAAGGAAAATGTAAAGGGAATGGAAATCCCATAGAAAGATCATAGAAATAACATGGAAATCCCATGAGAATCTCACAGAAATCCCATGGAAAGATCATAGAAATAACATGGAAATCCCATAGGAATCTCACAGAAATCCCATAGAAAGATCATAGAAATAAAATGGAAATCCCATAAGAATCTCGCAGAAATCCCATTGAAAGATCATAGAAATAACATGGAAATCCCATAGGAATCTCACAGAAATCCCATAGAAAGATCATAGAAATAACATGGAAATCCCATAGGAATCTCACAGAAATCCCATAGAAAGATCATAGAAATAACATGGAAATCCCATAAGAATCTCACAGAAATCCCATAGAAAGATCATAGAAATAACATGGAAATCCCATAGGAATCTCACAGAAATCCCATAGAAAGATCATAGAAATAACATGGAAATCCCATGGAATCTCACAGAAATCCCATAGAAAGATCATAGAAATAACATGGAAATCCCATAGGAATCTCACAGAAATCCCATAGAAAGATCATAGAAATAACATGGAAATCCCATAAGAATCTCACAGAAATCCCATAGAAAGATCATAGAAATAACATGGAAATCCCATAGGAATCTCACAGAAATCCCATAGAAAGATCATAGAAATAAATGGAAATCCCATAAGAATCTCGAAATCCCATAGAAAGATCATAGAAATAACATGGAAATCCCATAGGAATCTCACAGAAATCCCATTGAAAGATCATAGAAATAACATGGAAATCCCATAGGAATCTCACAGAAATCCCATAGATAGATCATAGAAATAACATGGAAATCCCATAAGAATCTCACAGAAATCCCATTGAAAGATCATAGAAATAACATGGAAATCCCATAGGAATCTCACAGAAATCCCAGAGAAAGATCATAGAAATAAAATGGAAATCCCATAAGAATCTCACAGAAATCCCATTGAAAGATCATAGAAATAACATGGAAATCCCATAGGAATCTCACAGAAATCCCATAGAAAGATCATAGAAACATCATGGAAATACCTTGGAAAACCCACAGGAATCCAATAGAAATTCCATAGGAAAGATCATAGAAATACCATAAAAATCCCATAGGAATCCAATGGAAATCCCATAAGAATACCATAGAACTCCCATAGCACCCCTTCAGAAATACCATAGAAATCCTCCAGAAATATCATAGAAACATCATGGAGACCTCATAGGAATTCCATAGAAATCCAATAGTAATACCATAGAAATACCATAAAAGAAAAAAACTTTAGCAAAGGAAAAGGACAAGGAAATGGTTGAAAAAAAACATAACCTCAGGAAGCAGCTGGACACAATAGTGTACCCTCCAAACAAACCACACTATTGTGTATCAGGGTTGCTCATGGACTACCCCCTTGAAAAATTGTTTGAGTGATGTTTTTTGATTGAGTTTTAATAAGGCATCATATATTTTGGGAAACTGGGCATTTCTGAGAATTTCAAATGAAAGAAACTAAGAAAGTAATTAAGCAATTAAAAGAAAAAACTTTAGCAAAGGAAAAGGTAAAGGAAATGATTGAAAAAAATCAAAAAATCATGGCCTCAGGAAAGCAGCTGGACACAATAGTGTACCCTCCAAACAAACCACACTATTCTGTATCAGGGTTGCTCATGGACTACCCCCTTGAAAAATTGTTTGAGTGATGTTTTTTAATTGGGTTTTAATAAGGCATCATATATTTTGGGAAACTGGTCATTTCTGAGAATTTCAAATGAAAGAAACTAAGAAAGGAATTAATTAAAAGGAAAACACTTTAGCTAGCAAAGGAAAAGGTAAAGGAAATGATTGAAAAAAACAAAAAATCATGACCTCAGGAAGCAGCTGGACACAATAGTGTACCCTCCAAACAAACCACACTATTCTGTATCAGGGTTGCTCATGGACTGCCCCCTTGAAAAATTGTTTGAGTGATGTTTTTTAATTGGGTTTTAATAAGGCATCATATATTTTGGGAAACTGGTCATTTCTGAGAATTTCAAATGAAAGAAACTAAGAAAGAAATTGATTGAAAGGAAAACACTTTAGCTAGCAAAGGAAAAGGTAAAGGAAATGATTGAAAAAATCAAAAAATCATGACCTCAGGAAAGCAGCTGGACACAATAGTGTACCCTCCAAACAAACCACACTATTTTGTACCTGGATGTAATTTTCTGTGGAAGGCATCTGGAAAATT